GAGCCAATCATTTCCCAAAGCACACTTCTAAATACTGCATCATGGGAACCAAGGTTTCAACATACGAGTCACTGGAGAAACATTTTCATACCCAACTGTGATGGCTAGCTTTAATTTTCAATTTGACATTCCTAGAAATCACTTGGAAAGAGAGTCTTAATGAGAGCTGGTCTACATTGGGTTGGCCTGTGGGTGTGTCTGTAAGGGATTGTCTGAACTAAGTTAATTGATATGGAAAAATCCTGCCTAGGCAAAGGATCCTAAACCGTATAAAAGTGAAGAAACTGAGCTGAGCATTAACAGACATGTACACACTGATTTCTCTTTGCTCTTGACTGGGAAAATGATGTGACTAACTTCCTTGACTTCCCTGTGATGCGAGTCTATAACCCGGAATTGTGAGCTAACAATCTTTTCTCCCTTTTTAAATTCATCTTTTAGATTTATCTATTTTATTTTATATTATGAGTGTTTTGCTTATGTGTATGTATGTGCACCATGTGCATGCCTAGTGCCCTAGGAGGTCAGAAGAGGGTGTTAGGACCTCTGGAACTGAAGTTATGGATAGTGATGAGCCACCATGTAGGCCCTGGGAATTGAACCCAAGTCCTTTAGAAAAAAAAGTATTCTAGGGGGCGGTGGTGGCACATGCCTTACTCCCAGCACTCGGGAGGCAGAGGCAGGCGGATCTCTGTGAGTTCGAGGCCAGCCTGGTCTCCAAAGCGAGTTCCACGAAAGGCACAAAGCTACACAGAGAAACCCTCTCTTGAAAAAAACCAAAAAAAAAAAAAAAGTACTCTAAACAGAAAAGCTCATCTTTAGATCAGGGCATTTTATAATAACAAAAGAAATGAAACTGGGATGTCAACCATGGTAAATATTTTTGTTTGTCTAAAATAGTTATCTTTTGAAACTACATATAAAAATTTTGAGGTGGGAGGAGTTCTGAAACAGGGTCTCTCTGGGTAGCCCTGGCTGTCCTGGAACTCAGAGATCCGCCCGCCTCTGCCTCCCGAGTGCTGGGATTAAAGGCCTGTGCCATCACAGCCCGGCTTAATTTTTTTTTTTCAAGTGAAATGACATAATCTCTATGACCTACTGCAAACAAGTGACTAGAAGGAGTGGAGACTGGAGAGATAGTAAGCCAGCAAAGACGGAATAAGAAAGAGTGGAGACTGGAGAAATAGTGAGCCAGCAAAGACGCAATAAGGTGAATAAGTTGGCAACTGAAGAAAAATGAGAGATATATGGGCTTCGTTATATTATATTCCTTCCCCTTTCATTTATGTTTAAAATTTCCACTAATTTTTTTTTGGCTTATTTTTCTATGTATATCTTTAACCAGTGTGGTGAATGGAAATTTCAAAGGGTTTAGAGCTAGGTAAAACAACTACAAAAACTTACTCTTTTCACTAATTAGTTAATAAAAGTCTCACCTGAGAAAGATTCATAAGTTTACAGAGTTTCTGCTTCATCATTTAAGTGATGATACTGGGGGCTGGAGAGGTGACTCAGAGATTAAGAGCATTGACTGCTCTTCCAGAAGACCTAGGTTCAATTCCCAACATCCAAATGATGTTGTGTCTGTAATTCCAGTTCCAGGGCACTGGACACCCTCACACAGACATAGATGCAAGCAAAATACCAATGCACATAAAATAAAAATAAATAAATTATTTAAAGTGATGATATTAACTTATCCCTCATAGGTATCATGGAAATAAAGAAATTGCATCTCTTGGTACATGCCTCCTGCAGAGCAGATGAAGAACCAGCCTGTCTCCATCTTAGGCTTCAAAGCCATCTCATAGTAAAGACAAACTAGGTTGATTCCTACGTCTATGATTAAACCTCTGTTTCTCAAGGATTGGGCAATGACCCGCCTGTAACCCTAACTAAACTGGTTCTGCACTGCCTGTACCAGAATGGTAATCGTGTCTTTGTTTCCGGAGGTCATTGTGACTAACTTGTCATGCTTACATTCTGTTTCTGTAACCCTGCCTATTTTGACTGCCAAATCCCTCATTTGGAAACCCCCTACCCCTGAGCTATATAAAGACCTTGTCTTCCTCACATCCAGGGCTGCTCTCTAAAATCCAGACAAGGTGAGACAGCCAGCTGGCCAGTCCCAGGTGCACCTCTAAAATAAAGCTTGCTTTAATTAAATGATCGTGGATTTGGTCTTTCTCCTCGTAACTTTCTTTTTTTGTTGTTGTTGTTTTTTGAGACAGGGTTTTCTGTGTAGCTTTGCGCCTTTCCTGGATCTCACTCTGTAGACCAGGCTGGCCTCGAACTCACCGAGATCCACCTGCTTCTGCCTCCCAAGTGCTGGGATTAAAGGTGTGTGCCACCACCGCCCGGCTCTCCTCGTAATTTTCAAGTTTAGCACAGAAACTCCGTAACTGCCGTCACAATTGTAGAAGTTATTGAAGATGTAGACTTTGTTTTAGATTTATTTATGTTTATTTTATGTGTATGGGTGTTTTGCCTGCACGTATGTGAGTGATCACCAGGGTACACACTGCCCATGGAAGCCAGAAGAGGGCGTCAGATCTCTGGAACTGGAGTTAGAGACTGTTGAAGGCACCATGTGGGTGCTGGGAACCAAACTCTGGTGCTCCAGAGGAACAGTTAGTGCTCTCAACCTCTCAGCTGCTTGCCAGCCCCAGATATGGGCTTTTTAAATAACCTTGGGACACCTTGGTTTAAGATTGCAATGAAAATCTCAAAATGGAGAAAAATAAACTTAGAAAAAGAGGAGGTGGCACTCTTTTACAGAGAGCCTGAGGTTAGAATTGTTCTGCCTAGGCAACAAGACAATTACTCACACGAAAGGAAACTGCTCTGTATTTATCTCATTCCTCAGAAGCCAGTGTAGCACTAGGGAGACATTCTAACAAGAACTGGTCATGGTCTGCAATATCTCAGATCTCGTCTCGTTTCCGAATTTGAATGAAAAGCAGCAAAGAAGCACATCCTTGGGAGGGAAAGACAATGGAAGGCAGAGACTTGGGATTTTATTGACATGTTTCTCTAGTTTTCATTTGTGCTGTTTTTAGTTTCTTGTGTGAAAAGTGAATTCTTACTAGAGAGCTGTGTTTGAATCTTTTCTTTCTCCATAACTGAATAGGTCAAAGGCATCACCATCCAAATATCCAAACCAGAATTCCCTGTGCAGTTCTGCCCATCCATTTTCAGCTGACCACCACCTAACAGCTCCACATCTCAGGTATCTCTTGAAAGTGCCTTTTAATCTATAATTTAATCTCATAAAGATTGCCTTCAGTCAGGCCCTCAACACACCACGTCAATTTCCAATAGCAAGAACAGGACTGTTTTCCTCTATATTAGTCTCCTCCTTTAACCAACATGCTAGAATGCAGGCAAGTCTAATCACATCTCTACTCTAAATAAAATACCCTCACAACAGCTCCCTCTTGTCTGCAGGAAAGACTCCAAGGCAGGCAATGCAAATGCTTTATGGTTTTCCCTTTTCTACTCACGCCTCCTTGTCCTTACCATACTAAAAGGCTGGTTTTCTCCGATGATTCCTGATATTCACAAGCTATACACCAAGACCTCACAGATTTGAGATTTTAGGCATTAAAAAATGTTTATATGGGCCCCCAGATATTTTCTAAATTCCTGGTCAGATGTGGCACACACCTTTAATCCAAGCACTAGGGAGGCAGAAGCAAGCAGAGCTCTGTGAGTTCAAGGTTAGCCCGGTCTACATAGTGAGTTCTAGGCCAAGCCAGGGCTACACACTGAAACCCTTAATCAAAACAAAAACAACTGGTGTGTTAGGTAGCTCCCCAAAATATCTCCCTCTGCACAGCAAAACAAAGCTGACCCATAATGTGAGTTTCCCACATCAACCTTCCCAGTGGAAACCATAGCTTTTCAATACCACCCAGTTACTTGATGAACATTTACAAATACCTCTCCAGAGTGACTGAATGAAGAGGGGTCTGCACTGGTAAAGACTAGCTGAGCTGTGGGTGCCAAGCAGTAAACTAGACATCCCAGAGCAAGTGACTAGGTCCAGAGCAATAGCTCCTTAGGACCAAGGAAAACCTTCTTGGCCTCAGTGTGGTACACCTGAGAGTAACTCAGAAGCTTATTGGTGTCTTGGGAATAGAGAAAAAAATATTAAATCCAAGTGAGTCTGGTTCTTTCTGTGTATTCATTACTCGGTTTTGTTTCAGAAAATTCACTATCACTGAAATATGATCTCATAATGAATAGGATATTAGCACAAATCATGAAAAATTTGGAGCATTAGCCATTTTTATTTAATGAATACATGGGCCCTTTAAAATGAAAGTAAAGCTCTTAATTTTTGGTTCAGTTTTTCCCTGCACCAAATTCTTCTTATGACAGAATAAAATGTTCTCTAAAATACTCTGTGTTATAAAGGTTAAATTTAAATTTTCCACTGTTAGTAAAAGTTTTCAGTTTGCTGTTAGGTTTTAAAACTGGGGGCGGGAGGGATAGGATGCTATCAAACATAAGCAGTGGCTGGTTTAGAAATCTCAGCAAACCTCAACATCTATGAAGCTCTAAGAGCCTCTCGCTGCCAGCTATACCATGTATTAGATTAAACAACGAGAGGTATTCCTATTCCTTTTGCAGACATATTTTAATTAGTCTTCAAAAAGCTCCTTAAACTTTTCAAATAAGTACAATTTTATGCCCATAGCAGTTCTGAATCTGTCAGTAAGAAAAAAATCCCTACGAACCCATATTGATAAGTAAACCATGCAGGGCCAGGGAGAAAGGGCAAAGGGAGAGTTCTAAATTCCACCAAGCACGTGGCCCGAGCCGGTTAGCTGACTTCCACCACAATGACGTCTACTGGCAGATGTTGTGAATTATTGTGGAACCCCGAGGGTATCCTGAGCAGCAGGGAAACATGCTGGGAAGATGCAGTGGCGGGCTGGGCAGATGCACGCCATGTGGTCATGGCAGCTGAGGCGGTCAGTAATTCACAACTCAGATGCTGCGTCCACGTGGAGAGTTTATTATAACAGAGAGATGAGGAGAAAGATAGGAAAGAGAGAGAAGAAGAGGGAGAGAGAGAGGTCAAGGGCGCACACCTCATGGGAGGAAAAGCAGAAGACAGAGAGGAAGGGGAGGAGCTTTTCCTTAGAATGAGGTTTTTGTGTCAGGACGCAGGGTGGCACCAAGGGGTGGGATTTCAAGGGGCAGATCAGAATATTAACATTCCTCCACTTTGATTATTATAAAAAGAGGTGAGTTATGTGAGCAAGTGGGGGAACAAGGGCACTGGATTCTCAAGACTACTTCAAGCTGACAAGGGGTGAAGTGGAAAGGGGGAACCAGGAGTCACGCACGACGGGAGATCTCAGGCATACGTTCCTTGAGGGAGCTGAGGAGGCAGGTTGCAGCAGTGGTGTTCCAGGAGCTTGGGGGGAAATGGCACCCCAAATCAGGAGTACAGAAAGCCATGGCATCTGCTGTTTCTCTAGAGGTCAGGCGGGAAGAGTGAATCTGCAAAATATGCTCGAAAAATAGGTGGGGTCAGAAATGGGCTCTGGAGATTGTTCGTTTTCATCAGACCAGATTTCTTGGTGCAGTAGCAAAACTTTTCCCAGGAGCCTGTAGGTATCTGTAAAACAGCTGGAATGGATTTACATCATGGTAAAAGGGTTAAAAAAAAATCCATTTAAAGACTCTTAAGAACTATTTGTAGTCAGTGTTATATCAGTTTATCAAAGCTCCATTTATCAGTATTAAAACTTTGAACCTCTGGAGTTATATCTGAAACAGGTCTATCCTGTACCATGAAGTCTGTGAATGAGGCATACCTATCTGTAATTGGAGAGCATGTATATATAATCTTTGGATTGGGGCCGTTAAACTGATACCCTAGTCATCAAATACCGTCAGATATGAGAAGGATAAATTTAAGAAGTGAGACAGCTTTCCAGCTACCTAGGCAGCAATCCCCGTGGTCACTGGGGGACAGAAGCCCCAAAGGCAGCACTTGTTCAGCTGATAAGCCCAGAAGATCTGACAGATTTTTTTCTGTGGAGTAGAAATTTGGGGAGACTGACCCACCTTGACTTTGTAGTATAGGGCCATCTGTCCTCCGTTGTTCCATTTATTCACAGTCTGGACAGGATCTCAGCTTTTCGCTGTGTGACTAGCCTTGCCATAAGCTTCCGAGTGGAAATTCTTCTGCGGACATCTATCTTCTTGGAGGAGATACAGGATGCTGCTAGGAGCTGACATGTCTCTTTATCATAAAAAGGCTTTTATATTAAATGGCAAATTCTCAGATCTCTACAGGTGTTTGAGGACTGGGGGGAACAAAACCTGTTAGATGTGGATATACAGGTTTCCCAGTTAGTTACAGCTTAATGAAGTTAGCAGGGACAGGGAGGCTCACATTCTTAAGCCTGAATAGACCTTGAGTAAGGAGAGCCATTTTTAAAGCCATAGACAGTGATATCTGAATCTATTAACATTTTTAAGGCCCTGTAGCTGTAGTTCTGATCTGTGAGTACAGCCAGATTATAACCCTGAATGACTTATATAGAAATAATTATTTCTTAATCTGTCTCCTGAGAAGGCAAAGAAGAGCAACAGGGGAAGATCCCAAGGCCAAATGAGAACAAGAGAAAAGGGGCTTGTGAGTCGGGGTGCAGCCCAACTCTGAGGAAGGGACCCTCTGAGAAAAGGAAAAGGACCCTCTTGGTGGACTCTATGCCAGGGTTTCCATCCCTAACGTAGCCCTCCAGCCTGTCCTGGGAACAGGGAGCACAGAACAACGTATTCTCCATAGCTGCTTTAAGCTGAAACAGGGCGCAGGAGGTCAGGAGGATTCTGACTAGTTAAAGGTAAGGGAAAGCGCTGCAGGTTGTGGTCCACAACAGCTGCTTCGATGTGTTTGCCAGCCTGCTGAAATATGGACTAGAGATGGGGGTTAAAATTTATGAATTTAGCCGGGCGGTGGTGGCGCACGCCTTTAATCCCAGCACTTGGGAGGCAGAGGCAGGCGGATCTTTGTGAGTTCAAGGCCAGCCTGGTCTACAGAGCGAGATCCAGGAAAGGCACAAAGCTACACAGAGAAACCCTGTCTCGAAAAACCAAAAAAAAAAAAAAATTTATGAATTTATTTGGAGCCTTTTGGTGCATGGTCTTAATAATTGGGAAGAGCAGGAGTCCCAAGTCCAGGAGAGAGAGAAAAAAATACCATCCTTAGGAAGAGGCAAATGAGAAAAAAATAAAAGTTTTAGATAAATTAGTATTATCAATCAGTACTGAAATCCAAATTGTGGAAAAGCAGGTAATGAGTAACCAAGGAAAATTTAAAATCCTGAGCTTGCACCCCAAAGTGTATCAGAATTGTATTAATGTTAAGATCTGAAATTTTAAAATCTTAATATAATACCGTCTGTACGTGGTTCCGCTGATGCCCTGGAGGTAGCGCATACCTCTCCGCCCTGCCAACACAAGCAGCCTAGGAGAAAAAAAACAGCGGGCTGTGACTGGACCTCCACCCTGCCCAGACAGCTCAAGCCTGAGAGAGGCATCTGGGGAATGCCAGGCCAAGGCCAGAGGACTTTTCCTCGGCCTATAAAACAACGGTGAAACAATGTGCAGTGAGAGGCAATTCCCTAACCTCCCTCCATACTGACTACCAACAGCCTGAGTGCTAGTGCCCCACCCATGCTGCCCTTAGTAAAGATGGCAGTGAGGTCATATGACCTGCTTGTTTTGACCTTAGCCAAGATGGCGGCTAAACCACACGGTTGCCCTTATTTCAGATGGTGGCTTGACCATGTGGTTGCCCTTATTTAAGATGGTGCAGCCTGATCACGTGATTGCCCCTAGAAATATGGCACCTGACCACATGTTCGTGTGGTATTTTTGTTGTAGTTGTTGTTTGTTTTTTTTAAATAAACTGAGCAGATAAGGAACAGATAAATTGAAGCATGTAAATGTCTGTCAGAAAGAAATATAGATGGCCATATCAGGAACAAACAAAGCCATGGGTTGGCGGCAGTGGTGGTGGTGGGGGCACAATGATGTATAAGGCCCAGGGGACTGACCTCTGGCATCCCAGAGGATCAGCGAGGTCCAATGATAACAGCACAAGATAGCCAATGACCTGTCATCGCAAAGGCTATGGACGTGGAATTGAGAGGGCACAGGCGGTCTCCATATGTTGTCGAATTGGGATGAGGGCCAAAGGGCTATGAGCCCAAAAGACACATGGTTCCAGCAAGCAAAATGAGACGAATCTGGAATCTGACCTCCAGCATCCCAGAGAATCAGTGAGGACTAATGAATGGTGCAAGATAGACAATGGACCATTGTAACAAAGGCTATGGGCCGTGGAATTGAGTGGGCACAGGCTGTCTCCATATGCTGTCACATAGGGGCATGGCACCAGCAAGTGAAACAAGATTAATCCTCACTTGTGGGAAAATGGCAGAAGGAAGGGGAGGAATGTTACCAATCTGGTAGGGTGAAGAGTCCCTGGTGGTGCTCCAGCCTGAAAAATGGCGGGTGATACAGGATCCCAGAGTTCATAAGACTGCCGGTGGGCAGGAGAAAGCAGTGGGGGTGCCAATGATACGAATTATTGCGCAGGGGGACCCCCAAGGGTATCCTGCATATGCAAGGAAACATGCTGGGCAGATGCAGCAACTGGCTGGGCAGATGCATGCCATGCAGGCATGGCGGCGGTGACAGCAGCCAGTAATTCACAATCCACACGCTGCATCCATGTAGAGAGTTTATTATAATAGAGAGATGAAGAGAAAGATAGGAAAGAGGGAGACAGAAAGAGAGAAGAAGAGAGAAAGAGAAAGGGGGGTGGGTCAAGGGTGTACACCTCGTGGGAGGAAAAGCGGAAGAGAGAGAGGAAGGGGAGGAGTTTTTCCTTAGAATGAGGCTTTTAAGTCAAGATGCAGGGCGGAGCCAAGGGGTGGGATTTCAAGGGGCGGATCAGAATATTAACAGAATAACCAGCACTGAGCTTGCAGAGGGAACCTGCAAAATGGCAGAGCAGCCTTGGAGTCTACCCCTTTAACTGCAGACTGACTACAGGAAGCTGGGGGCTGAATTTCTTGAGAACAGAGACCATGTGTTGTTAAGTTGTGTATCTCCAAGGCCTCATATTTTGCCTGTCCCACTACAGATGCTCCAAAACCTTGTTGGATGGTTATAAATGGGATTATCTTTCATTTAATATCTTTAGAATCATGGACTCTAAATCAGAAGACTTTGGTTAAGAGTTACTGAATGTTTAAAAATATTATTAAAACCTTCTAACACACAGATGCTTTGTCTTTGTAGCTGACAAACATCTTTTAAATTCCAATAACAAGCTGGATGCAGTAGTGTATGTCTGTAATCCTGGCACTTGGGAGTGGGAAGCAGGAAGATCACAAGTTCAAGGCTAGCCTCAGCTACATGGCAAGTTTGAAGCCAGCCTGAGTATCCTAGTTAGCTTTGACTGTCAGCATGACACATCCCAGGGTCCTCGGAGAAGGAAGTCCTTGACTGAGGAATTTTCTAGAACAGATTGGCCTGTGGGAGGTCATCGTGATTATTAATTGATATAGGAGGGCCCAGCCCACAGTGGGCACCATCCCTAGGCAGATTAAGAAAGCTAGCGAAGCATGAGCAAGCCAGAAAGCAAGCTAAAACAGCATCCCTCCAGGGTTCCTGCCTCCAAGTTCCGCTCTGAGATCCTGCCCTGACTTCCTCAGTGATGGATTGTGAAACAGAAGTGTAAGCCAAATAAATCCTTTCCTCCCCTAAGTTGCTTTGGTCAGAGTATTTTAATCACAGCAACAGAAAGCAAACTAAAACACTGAGCTATATGAAGCTCTGTCTCAAAAAAATCAAAACAAGGTTCTAATAATAAGAATAATTCCCATCTCCCAGAAAATATCATGCTATCTTACAATTTTATGGAGGTTCTAAATCTCATCTCTCAAATACAAAGTTAGAAACTGCAGAGCCAGGAGAAGGAAGTATATTTTTAAGATACTCTGAAATAATAATACAGCTAAGAACCCAGTGAAGGCGCTTCAGGATGCTAATGTCCAGAACACCAACAGTACCAAATGCTGGGGCAGAAGCTGAGAAGCCAGAATGTTTACACAGAAATCTTGGAAAGGAAGACTGTGCAGGTACTTGGGAAGACAGTCTGCTAGCTTCTCACAAAATCAAACACATCTTACCAAATGATCAGACCATCGTGCTCATGGTATTACTCTAATGCATTTATTACTGAAAGCATTTGTCCACACAAAAATATACAGAAATATTTATATCTGCTTTATTCATGATCACCAATAATTTGAAACAATCAATATGCTTTCAAGTGGGTAAATGAAAACAAAAACTGTGGGATATGCATCTAAAATGTTGCTAAAGAATGAAAAGAAACCAAGTATTGGATGAACCTTAAGTGCATGTTGCTCAGTGGAAGAGCTGGTCTGGAAAGGTGCACACTGTATGATTATGAGGAGCACACATTCTGAAAAAGAAAACATAGGGAGACAAAAGAAGGTCAGTAGTTGCCAGGAGCTGGAGGAGAGGGGGATGAATGGGTGTGCACAAGGGATACAGAAGGCAGCAAATGTGAGCTGTGTGATACCCTAATGTCTTCATACATCTCCCAAGACCCAGAATACCTGCAACACAGTCTGAGCCCTAAAGTGGCATTATTAATAACATATCCATGTCGGCTCATCAGCTGTAACAGATGTACTGCACTAACAGAAGATGTTAACACTGGGGAAAGCCGGGGAGTGGGGAGAAAGAGGACTTGTGCAAACCACCCTTTCTTCTCAACTTTTCTGTATCTAAAATCTGCTCTAAATTAGTCTATTAACTTAAAAATAAAAGAAATTAACTCTTTTGTATTGGATATGTCTTAGAGGCTATTTGTTACATTTCTTTAAAAACTCCTGCCAGCAACTTAACAGGTTTATAGTCAAATGTTCCCCGGGAACAATTCAAATGGCACAGCATCTATCACAGGAATTTATCTGGATAGTGTGTGTAATCAAGCCCTGAATAGAGGCCATTTGCCTGAAGGAGCCTCAAGGAGGAAAAACTTTGTACTTAATTCTCAGAGTTGATACAATTAAACACTTCATTTGGTTAGCTTTTTATTGCGGTGTCCCTTAGGACTGGGACCTGCCATTATCACAAAGTGCTATAAATCAGCTGAACTGCTAGGGTGATAGAGGAGGACTGTTCCCTTACAGCTTCTGCCAAGACCTGTCGGGAGCGGCCAGCAAGCCTCTGCCAAGAAATGCTTAATGGTGTGCTGGGGAGTTCTACTCCCCAGACGCTGGTGAAAAACCAAAAATTGCTTCAGCTGTAAAAAGTTTCAGGCTTGAAATTGATTGCCATTTCATTCTATAGAACTGAGTGCCAGCTTAGCAAGTCACGGTCCCTGAAGTCTTCATGGGAGGCCCTGGTGCCTAATGTCTCAGTCACTGCTCTATCACTGTGAAGAGGCACCATAACCAAGGTTACTCTTATGAAAGAAAGCATTTAACTGGGGGCTTGATTACAGGTTCAGGGGTTTAGTCCATTGTCATCACGGCTGGGGGCATGGGAGCATGCACGGCGCTGAAGCACTAGCTGAGAGCTACCTCCTGATCTGCAGACTCAGAGAGAAAGACGGGGCCTGGCACGTGCTTTTGAAACCTCAAAGCCCAACCTCAGTGACGTATTTCCTCCAACAAGGCCACACACTTACTCCAACAAAACCATACCTCCTAATCCTTCCTTGTAAGCCTTTCAAACAGTTCCACTCCCTGGTAAATAAGCATTCAAATATATGAACCTATGAGGGCCATTTCTATTCAAACCACCATACCTACCCATGCTGAAATGTTGTTAGCCCACAATAAGCTCAAAGGAAAGTAGACATTTGGGTGATGGCTTGCGCCATCTCAGGGTAACAATCCATCCTTCTACCTGAGCTATTGTCATAATAAAAAATTTCACAAAATAGCAACTTTGTGCATTCACTCCTGAGCACTCCCGAGAAAGCCTAACCCTAGCTATTAAGAAAAAAAATCATTGTAAGATTATAAACACAATTTTTTATATTATTTAGGTGAAACACAGGGATGTTTGGGGCTGTGAAATGTTCATTTTGCTCTAGTGCAGTGAAAGTGCTTGGTGTATGGCTAAGGAAAAGACTGCCCTGGATGAAGACCTAAAACCAAAGGAAGTGAATCTTGGTATGTCCTCACCGCAGTCCTACCCTGCACTTGCTCAGCTCTTCCCACCAGAGCTCCTGATAACTCTCTACCCAAAGAGCAAAAAGTACAAGCTGTGAAAGGCCTTAGGAGACTCTCCCAGCCTAAAATCTCTACAAGCCTAAACTCTTGTAATAAATGCATTTCTTCGTCTTATTTTGAATGTTTCAAATATTTTTAGGTATTTGCTATAAATAGCAATTATAGAGATCACTAATAATTGGGAGTGAATCCATTGTCAGTTTCCTCTTCTGTGACATCTGGTTAGGAAGAGGTCCTTAGGAAACCCAGTAGCATATGTTTATATTTCTAGCTACAGGAGAGTCTGAGATGTGAGGATCATTTCAGCCCAGAAGTAGAAAGTTAGCTGGGGCAACACAGAGATCCCATCTCAAAAGCAAACACACAGGAGGCTTGCAAGATACTTAGCCCATAAAAGAATTTACTGTCAGGAACCATGTGGTCGAAGAAGAATTCTGACTCCACAAGTTGGTCTCTGACTTTCACACAGGCACTCACACATGCAAATGCGTACACACACACACACACACACACACACACACACACACCAAATAAATGAATATATAAAATACTTTAAAAATCCAATTAACTCAGAAGTCATAGGTTGCCAAATTAAAAGTCAGTGTAGAATCTCTGCCCTTGAGTTGTGTTGGTCAGGGGTGTTCCAGAGACCCTGAAAACAATATAGACTACGGCCATGGCTCTTGGTTACTCATCAGAACTTGATGGTGAGTCCCTAAAGACACCACATGTTTTAGTCACAGGACATGGAAAGATCAAGTAGCTCCTGACTGGGAATCGACCTCCCATCTGGCTGGTTTTCACAATAGCAGAAGATGCTGTGCAGACAGCTGAGGGGGAAGGTCATCAACAGTCTCACCAATGTGAACCCCGTGAGTTACAATAATGACTCCTGTGGCAAGAGATGCTGATGGGTGTAACAGAGGCACTAGTGTTGTAGAATAACCAACTACTTTCTTTTTGCATTGAAGGCCCAACATACATGAGAGAAAACCTACCTGGAACTGTAAATGTGCCCGAGAACCAGTGGCTAGGGATGTCACAGGCCCTAGGTGAGAACCTACTTCTACTTTCTAAATGGACATAGTGTCAAACTGTCCTCTAACTTCATACCTTTACATGTATAGATTAGGACAGTTCTCAAACCTCATCAGAGGAGTCTGGATGGCAGTTAATTCAGAAACTCACAACTGGTCAGATTTCAGAGAATAATTGTCTGTGAACACTTGTACACAAATGGGACATCTATCACACCCCCTATCCTGAGGGCTTAGGGGCCACCATGGAAGTGGGGGCGAAAAGATTGCAAAAGCTATAGGTTGGGAAGGGCTAGACACAAACAGGATACGACAGGACCTCTCATGAACTCCCAGTAGCTGTGACTGCCTGCACAGGAAGAAACTAGTCAACATTCCAGAGTGCAGGGAGACAAAGTTCACAACCCTTCACACTTGGCTGAGGAGCTGTTGGCAGCTGTCAGCTTCTGTGGAATGGAGAATCAGTCTTCTTTGAAGGCATGACCCTGTAATAGGTTGACCATGGTCTAGTGGATAGCCCCATGTCTTAGGGTTTCTATTGCTGTAAAGAGACCATGACCATGGCAACTCTTATAAAGAAAATATTTAACTGGGGGCTCGCTTACAGTTTTGGAGGTTCAGTTCATTATCGTCATGGTGAAAAGCATGGCAGTGTACAGGCAGACATGGTGCTGGAAAGGTAGCTGAGAGTTCTACATCTGGATCAACAGGCAGCAGGAAGAGAATGCTACGCTGGGTGTGGCTTGAGCATCTGAAACCTCAAAGCCCACTCCTAGTGACACACTTCCTCCAATAAGGTCATAACTACTCAACAAGGCCACACATCCTAATAGTGCCACATCCTATGGGCCTATGGGGGCCATGTTCATTCAAACCACCACACCCCACATCCACGAGTATATGGGCAGTACAAGGTGGACTGGGTGGGTCATTTTTTTATAAGGTCATAAAGCTGAAATTGGAAGGGAGTAGGGTAGTGGAGGGTGGATCTGGGAATATTAGGAGAAGTCATAGGGAATAAATATATTGTATGCATGTACGAATTCTCAAAGAATTAATAAAAATATGATACATTCTATAAAAGAAATAAAAGTCATAATGTGGCAGTAAGAATGTATGCTGACAGGATGAGTTTACTTGGTGTCATTTAGAATTATTTGAACTAAATAATTAACTCACATGAGAGCATCTTAAGTCTATTAAGAAGCTGGGGAGGGAGAAGACAGTTAAGAGAATAAGCCTTGGACAACAGGCTAGAATACATGTTGCCTTACATGTCTATTGCTGTGAAGAGACACCATGACCAGGGCACCTTATAAGAGAAAGGATTTAATTGGGGAGTGGTTACCATGTCAGAGGATTAGTCCATGACTATTGTGGAGGAAAACATGGTGACAGGCAGACAGATACAGTGCTGAAGCAGTAGTTGAGAGTTTACATCCCAACTGGCAGGCAGGAAGCAGAGAGAGAGAGAGAGACAGAGACAGAGACAGAGAGACAGAGAGACAGAGACAGAGAAACTGGGCCTGGCCTTAGCTTTTGAAACGTCAAAGGCCACTCCCAGTGACACACTTCCTCCAACATGACCACACCTCCTAATCCTTCCTAAACAGCCTACCAACTGGAAACCAAACCTTCAAGCACACGAGCATATGGGGGCCATTCTCATTCAAACCACCACATACATCTTAATCACAACTCAGAAATCTGATTGCTCTTACATCATAAAGAACAAGCCCTGGGGAGACATGAGAACACAGGAAAACTACAAATGTGAAATGACAAATTTAACTTAATTTTATTAAAAAGAAAGCTTGGCAAACAAAAAAAAAAAAAACAACCAAACATTTAAAGCTATAACTCAAGGAGCAGTTAAGAACACTAGCTATTATTCCAGAGGATCAGGGTTCAATTCCCAGCACCCACATAGAAGCTTACAACCATCTGTAGTTCCCTTGCCCTCTTCTGGCCTCCCCTGGAACCAGACACTCATATGGAGTACAGATATGCATGCAGGCAAAACCCATACACATAAAATCATAAAAAATTTTAAATTCTTAAATATAACTTGGAATTTATCTTTTTAGAAATGAATTTGGAATTATTCTTCCATAGAAATCAGTTTCATTAGAAAACTAGAAAAAATCTGTCCATTTCTATTCACTGTCTCCCCCTCA